CCTCTCCGGGACTCTCCGGGTGTGGGGCTTAAGGCTCCTGGGGTCTGAGATTGTTTAGGGTTTAGGGCTTGGGGTTTGGGGTTTAGGGTTTGGGGTTTAGGTTTTAGAGGTTTAGGGTTTAAGGTTTAGCTTTTAGGGGTTTGGTTTCGTGCTGGATTGATTTCCAGATCTTCCACAAGAAATTCGAAGCAGGGGATCAGGCTATACGCGGGATTCCAAGAAGGATTTTGTAGGGCTTTGACGGGGTTCAGGGTTTGCTTGAAGGATCATGTGATTGAGTAGATACTTCATACGTGAGGTTATTTGTAAGTGAAAGAGTCCCGATAAAAAGTACATATGGCTCTACTTTCAACCTCTTTACTAGGTGATCCTTCAATTACGGACTGTCCCATGTATATATCTAGGATGCTAGGATGCCGGGTATGCCGTCATAGGAAGACCAGGCCTTTTTCCCCTAAACCCTAAACCCTAAAGACCGCTGCCGCTCACGGTGCCGGAGGCTGTCGACCTTTGGAGGCAGCTGCTGGGATTGTGTGACACCCAGGCCATGGGAGATATGGATAGGGCGGTGCAGAGTGGAGGCAGAGTCATTCCCAGGAGTGTAGCAGACAACGCGGTCGACACCATGCGGGAGTATGACCGGCACGACCTCGCCATCCTGACGATAGGACTGGTGGAGTTGGTGAGAAGGCTCATGGCCGAAGGAGCACAGATCCTCGCAGCCTCAGAAGAGGACCTGGTGGAAGTGGAGGTGGAGAGGGCGGACGGCCACAGCTTGATGCAAACCTCCAAGACCGCTTGCCGGAAGACCTTTCGGGAGCAGGCCTCGATCCTACAGGAGTTTCAGGCGGCCTGGATCGCGGAAGCTGCAGGAAAGGCGGCTGGACTCAAGCTGAGGGAGATGCAAGTCAGAGCAAGACAGTACCGCATGCAGCACGGGCCGAATGATACCCTCGACCTGCTGGACGCCTTGCTTGTCACCATGCGGGAGGACCTTGGGCAGGAGATTGAGGGGGAGAGCCTGGAAGGTTGCGAGGTGAGCTGGTTACAAACATGGTGGGAGCGAATCCTCCGTCATATGCAGACGCCAGCCTCTGCAAGCGCGGGCTCTCGCGAGCCAGTGTGGATCGACCAACGAGGACAAGAAGAAGGAGAAGCTCTGGCAGTGGAGGAAGCTGCCTACATGGCCGAG